GCCTTTGTTCCATTCCATATTAGTAGAAAAGGAAAGATGAAAAAAGAAAAACGTGGTAATGAAGCCTAACCCTAGTAGGCTCTCTTATAATCGATTTAGGGTTTGGTTGTTGTCCCATCAGTGTATCGACAATGTCTCAGCTTCTGTCCCGACTACTCTCCTAGCTCTCTCCTCAAAACGATGCTCTGGTAAGGGATCAACTTCTCTGGTTTCATTCTCACTTTCGGTGATTGTGATCCCTTCTCTCTGTTTTCGTTACTTGCTTGGGAAGATACAGAGGATACAATTTCGTTTGTTTTCATCTTCCTTACCCCCTTGACACTACTGCTAAGAAATATTTCCCACCGTATTTCATCTTCGGCGGTAAAACTGAGTAATTGGGAAAAGATGATGACATTCATATTGAAGATTTTTCCCGTGGCGGTTCTAGATATTTCAAAAAGAAGGTGCCTCCTGAGTTACTAGAGGGAAAGGGAATTATCGGAGCATCCCGAAACTGGATAGCTACGCAAAAGAAGGGTGGTGTGGTGTGTCTCCAAGATGATCTCAACCTATGTGCATCAGCATCAAATCCGAAACGCATTTCGTTACCTCCTCTTGTAACTCTATCTAATTGCCAGACAAAGATCGTTACCAACATGGCCATGTCCTCTTCTTCACCCGATGAAGACGAAGACTGTGTTGTGGCTATCAAGTTCTTGGGGCCTCAACTCAGACTGATTAGGCCAGCTCGTGACTCCAAGTGGACCAACATTAGAATCACAAACCCCAGTTTCTTCAATTCCCATGTCACGTATTCCCAAGTAGACAAGGCATTCTCTTTGCCCTCTGATGGAGGCGGCCTCATTGGATCGTGGCATCTCCACGAAAACTACTGGGACTCGCCCGGGTGGACAAAGTTGCATTTTAGAAACCTTTCCAGGTTGAGAAAGCCGCAAAACAATATTTTTGAATCGTGTTACAGGACCCAGTGGAGTCACCAACCGGGGAGACTTTCCTCGTTATGTGGTACAGGTATGGCACCCAATAGTGTTCGTGAGTGATAAGAACACTTACTTTTCTTTCAATACTTAAAGTGATTAAGAACAAACTTAGCTTTGATA